GGCAGGCGGATGGGCATTACCGCCTAAGCTCTGCCTCCTATCAGATCAGTGCCGGCACTAGATTCTCATAGGAGCACGAACCCCATTGTGAACTGCGCATGCGAGGAATCTAGGTTGCACAGTCCTTATGAGAATCTAACTAGTGCATGATGATATGAGGTGGAACAATTTCATGCGGAAACCACCCCTCCCACTCACACCCCACTCCCCCATCCGGGCAATGTGTCTTCATGACTGTCAATGACTCTACGATGGTGTCACTGGGAGTCTGGCCTGTATCCGTGGGAAGTCCTCCTGACTTCAAGGAGCACCCAAGTGGGTAGAGGGCCAGGCTGGGTGGGCATCCTCCTTTCCTTCTGAAGAACTATGAGCATCATTGAGGACCAGAAGCAGAGCTTGAGCCACACCACCTCCAGGAAGCCCTCTTAGCTATGCAAGGAGAGAGTCTCTCCAGACTCTTGGATTTCAGCTGCTTCTGGCATCCATGGGAGCACCTGACAGCTGGTAAGAGTTAAAAAGTCCCTGCCTCAAGGGGCACCCCTAACAGAAGGGCTGGTTTTCCTGCTGGCTTGGATGGGAGTGGGCTTGAGCGTTGTATATTTGGAGGCCAACTGGGTGGCTGGTATCTCTATTCCCAAAACGCAAATAGTTTAGACATGAAACTCATTCACAGAGGAAGAGAGGGTGGCCCTGGAATGGTTCTGTGGCCAGACATGCCTGAGTTTGAATTCTGTTTCTTCTACTTTCTAACAGCTGTGTGTCCTTGAGCAGATGGCTTCTACCCTGTCAGCTCCAGTTTCCTCATCTGTTATCATCCTCAAACGGGGATAATAACAATCCCTACATCATAGAGCTGTTAAGAGAATTAAATGAGATAATGCATGTAAAGTATTTGGCACCTAGTAGGCCTCAATCGATGTTAGATTAAACAAACAAGCCAAACCCAAATAGGCACCAGGGCAAGTTGTGTGTAAGCAATGGGGCCCCCATACTTAGCGAGCACTCAGAGATCCTGCTGAGAAATGATGAGGAGTGATTTCTCACCATAAAGGAGAGAAAAAGGCAAGTAAGTTTGAGTCAGGCCCAAAATAGTCCCAAGAAGAATTCACATGGTGCGTGAATTTAGCCAGGCATCCAGGATTCCTGATTCCAAAACAACTGTGCCGTTTTTGGTGTAATTTTGGACCCTCCCTGATTATTTTCAGTTTTGTACCAGGACAGTTTCTATTTTAGTTTATCTCCACTTGGTTTTTCTCCCCCTCCAATTCTCTCCTGAGGGTTCTATTTCCATTGCTTCTTTACATCTTTTGATTTAAATTCTCATTTGAAAATAATTGCATGTGCTATTATTCATTGAGTGTTCCTGTCAAACGTGCTTGCCCTCTCTTAAGACATGGGAACGCGCTTCTCTGAAACATAGCACAGAGGTGTAGCCCAGGCAAGGCCTCTAGGTTGGTGGTGGAAGGGACATAAAACTTCGTGTGTCAGGGATCTTCCTGACAGACTTTACCAGGCCTGGGTCCAAGATGAAACTGAGAAAAATGAATAGGGATTTGGCTGACAAAGCAGATGACAGGCGGAGAGAGCCAGTAAAAGGGAATTGGCCAATGGCAAAAGGGGAATTGGCAAGGCTTTGTGAAACCCCTTGGTGGAAAACCATAAACCTCAGCTTGTCCGTCTGGTGCATCAGTCCTCAGAGGCAAATCATTTTTGCCTGTGGAAGGTGCCTGCCAGGAAGCCGCCCCTCAGGGGGCGCCTTTGGAAAAGTGGATCGTGTCTGGCTGCGTGCCCAACCCTAAGTGCATGGGGATGAGAAGAAAATGCTCACAATGAGATCTCTGAGGGCTGGGAGATGGGGAGCGCTCCAGCGGCTGACACTCGTGAGTCACAGAACGATGGGAAAAAGAAGTTGAGAAACAGAGGAAGAGGACGCGGGACGGGAGGAGGTGGGAAGCCGCTTTGTTTCTGCAGTCCGGGACTGTCAGGGCCTGCCTGTCTCCCTCTTTGACGGGTCCCACTTGCAATTACTCATCGACGCTTTCGAAACTCAAGCCTGTCTTCTTCCAGGTGAAGAACCCACTTGTCTGGGTCTCCCAAATGAGCACTTACATTGTGAAAACTCTCTTTCAGAAACCGTATCTGTGTGTGTGTGCGCGTGACCTTGACAGAGGCTGAGCTGCTGCCTGGGGCACCGGGCTGAGCTCTGGGGATTGGGGGTTGGCAAGGGCGTGGCCTCCTCTTCCCTCTTCCGTGCCCTCCTAATGTCTGCTTTCTCTTGTCTGAGTGCTGTGTCTTTTGTCTCCAGGCCATCCAGATTTCTTCACTGGCTTCCTCCCACTCAAGTCTGGTTTTCCAGGGAGGGCCAGTTGATGACCCGTATTTTCACCATTTCCTCTACCAAGATTTGCCTGACATATATTTCCCTTTCATAGAGAATTGGCAGAAAAAAAGTTTGTTAGAAAAATTCCTGAGGTGTTTAATAACTAGTCATAATTGAGGGTGATAGCCTCTATCAGAGGACAATGCCCTAACCTGGAGGCTCCCTAACCTTTTCTTATGTCTGCACACAGAAAAGCCCCACGCCTGTAATCCCAGCACTTTGGGAGGCCAAGGCAGGCAGATCACTTGAGGTCAGGAGTTCAAGACCAGCCTGAGCAACATGGTGAAATCTCATCTGTACTAAAAATATAAAAATTAGCCAGGCGTGATGGCACATGCATGTAATCCCAGCTACTTGGGTGGCTGAGGCATGAGAACTGTTTGAACCCGGGAGGTGGAGGTTGCAGGGAGCCGAGATCGTGCCATTGTAATCCAGCCTGGGCAACAGAGGAAGACGCTGTCTCAAAATAAATAAATAAATAAATAAATAAATAAATAAATAAAATAATCAGCATTTTACCACACACTGTGACAAATCAAAGTGAGAGACAATGAGGCCTAGCCCCCCCACCACCCCACTTGGACCCCCAAGCCACACCGCAGAGGGTGAAGGGATCCATATCTCCCAGCATCTCTAATCCTGGCATGCACATTGACTGAGAAGCTCTGTCTTAACCCAGTGAGGCTTTTGTTTTGTTTTTTGTTTGTTTGTTTGTTTGTTTGTTTGTTTGTTTGTTTTTAGTAGAGACAGGGTTTCACTATGTTGGCCATGCTGGTCAATTCCTGGCCTCAAGTGATCTGCCTGCCCGGGCCTCCCAAAGTGCGGGGATTGCAGGTGTGAGCCCCTGCTCTCGGCCCCTGTGGTTTTTAAAATGTGCTTCGATGAGCCCTGGTAGTTTGCCCTTGTGCCTCAGAGGAAGTGGCCAGCTGGGCCAATAGGTCGCCTATTTCAGCTATAGCATCTCTGCTTTTATCTATTTATTAGATCACTGAAAGAAAGAATGTTGTGGCTTAAAGGAGTTAGAAAATTACTATCTTAAATCCAGCAAATAAAATCTTTAATGGCAGAAGCTCACACAACCATGACAAGGTGGTGATAGATGTATTCTGAGGACAGAGGGGTTTTCTGATGCTCTTCCGCCGTATCGTTCAGGAAACAGAGTAAACTACAGACAGACCTATGTCGGTCCTGTCAATAATATGTGCACATCCTGCCTCACAGGCCATAGGGGTTTTGTTTATTTAAAATGTCTGATCCTTGGACAAGGCATAGTAGCTGATGCCTATAATCCCAGAAGTTTGGGAGGCTGAGACAGGACAATTGTTTGATCCCAGCAGTTCAACATGAGTCTGGGCAACATAGCACGACCCAGTCTCTTAAAAAAAAAAAAAAAAAAAAAGTTCAATCCTTGAAAAATGATTATAAGTAAGTATAGTCAGGTAAGTAAATACCAGGGACCGCTAAAGTCTTAGGTCACTGAAACACAAACACAATCACCATCCTTGCCTTTGCTACCTTTCCTATTGTAATTGATTTATTTCTGCTATTTTTCAGAGACCATACATCTGGGAAATCAAAGCTGCTGAAAGAAAGCCTAACAAAACTAAGCACTGAGATATTTCACAAGATTGAGGCATTGGTTTATTTACTATTATTATTATGTTATTGTGTTGCTATTATTACGTATGTTTCTACCCCACTTTGCTTCACAAAAGGCTTATAATGGGAAAGACTCATTGAATAGTGTTCCATAGAAGAGGTTTAATCTCGAAGTTCAGGTTATTTGGTATTTGCTGGGTGACACCATTTCAAAACTATCAAGGTTTAATGTGAAATTAATTTAAGATTTCAGTTATCTGGTTTTCATTTTAAACCTTGTATTAAAATAAAGTATCAATCAGAGTTACAGATTTGAGTGTGCATGTGTGTGCATGTATGCATGTTTAATTTCCATTCCACATTGTTCCATAAAGGATGTGAGGCCACAAGTACTATAATGTTGCAAGTTAGTGAGAATGCCTAAACTACTAGTAAAGGCTAATCTTTCAGTAGGGATTCACCAGTTGTCTGCCATTTTTTCCGTTGATGAACAGAATTTTGGTAATATGCCTTTTTAATGTAATTTCAACTTTTATTTTAGATCCAGGGGGTACACGTGCAGGTTTGTTAGCCGGGTATATTGCATGATGCTAATGTTTGGGGTATGACTGATCCCATCACCCAGGTACTGAGCATAATGCCCAACAGTTTTTCAACCCTTGCCCCCCTCCTTCCTCATTCTAGTAGTCTCCATTTTCTATTGTTGCCATCTTTAGTCTATGAATACCCAGTACTTAGCTCCCACTTGTAAGTGAGAACATGCAGTATTTGGCTTTCTGTTCCTGCGTTGATAACACATTTGAAATATGCTTTTCACCCTTAGATGTTTCACTACTAGAGTTTTATTGCCTTTCAGCAGCAACAGAGGAGAGTGGAGATACAGACTTAGATAGAGGAGCAGACTCACTTCTGTGGTTCTTGCCTCAAATTTTCTTTTGAAGGTTCTGAAAGCTCCAAATAGTTATCTGATTTATTCTAGGTACACTTGGGCCAGTGAAATTCTAGGCTTTAAAACAGAAAGTTTTAGAAAGAGCTCAGTGAGGCTTTATTTCTTGTACAATAAATCCATCTCAGCAAAGAAAGCCGGCCCTTACATGGAACCCAGCATCTACTGAGGCAAGCAAGATTCACGATCCTGAAGACAGAGCAGGAAGTCAGCTCATTAAGCCTGTTATCTTGCTTCTGACTCTGTCTTGCTCTCTGCAGTCTTCACTGTCTCAAGTGCTATATTGTCTGCATGGTATTTCATTTTAAAATCCTTCTTCCATTTGCTGCTGATTGGTTGGTTTAATAGAAAAATAAATAAATAAAATGTTTCATTTGAGACATTGTGATGTAGTTGTATAGACAAGTTAACTCTAATCTGTTCTCCAAGAGGGGAGGCTAGAATTTAAAATACCCTGTTTGGGGGATCCAGCAGTTAACTACTGCTGGAGTTGGTTAACTCGGATGAAGTACCCTAGCCAGAGCCAACATCTTCTAAGATGGTCCACTTAGCATTTAAATATAATTAACTACATCTATGCCAGGAGGCTTATTAACATAACAGATATTTAAAATAGTTTCTAATTGGTGAGGTGAGTAGAAATCAAACCAGATGGTTGGTTAGGGATGTTAGAGAGGAAACTCTGCCCTTACCTGAATGAAGCATAAGCATTGGCAAGCCCAGCTTTCTGAATACAAATGGTGCAAGCTTGCAGTCTAGACCCCCAAGTTGGTTCTATGTCCTCCACTTCACAGAGAACCCTGTACCTGACCCCGTACAAAGCTGGACACACCTGCCATCAGAATATGCTTGCCCTAAATTCAACTAAGCCTTTTATGGGGAATGCAAAACAGAAGACTCAAAGGTAAAAAAGGGCCCAAGGATAAAGACTGGGACTTTCCTAGCTACATGCCATGTTTAAGACTGTTTTTGAGACTCTTTGTAAATAAATGTCTAGGTATTGTCAGAATATTTTCTGAAACCTCTTTTCATTATAATATGACTCCTGGTAGCCAGGTTGTGAAGGAAGGAATATATTGATTCCCCCAACGCTTCCTCACTTCTGATGGTTGGAGGCTATTAATATTTACCAGAAAAAGTGTTATATTTGCCAACATGATTGGCTTGGGTAGATTGCCATGCCATGCAAATTTCAAATCCATGTTTTAAAATGTAGAAAAAGAGTTACTTGCAAATATAGAGAATTAAGCTAAAGATGGTTAGCTTAAGGTTGTGGGGTTTTTCTTTGAATTTTGGGACTCCGATTGCATTCTGTAAATGTCCCTTAATGAAGGAACTGTTGGTGGGCCTTATACTTGTCCCTGAACACCCTTTAACTATGACTTCTAGGATAATTTCTGAACTCTTTTAAATTCTGGGAACCTGAGAGTTGCCTGCCTAAGCAGTAGTTGTGCTCCTTCTGTGGCATCTTCTTGTAAAACATTGGATTCTAAACTGGTTGCAGTGGAAACCCAGAGCCACTGAGGGAAGAGTGGAAGCCATATAGAGTGTCTCATCCTTCTGTGCTGGCTGGGACAGGCAATCTCTGCCCAGGGGTCGGGGAGAGGAACCCGGATTCATAGCCGCAGGATTTTGTTTGAGATTTCATGCCTATCAAGTTCATCCTCAAAGAACCCAATGCCATTCTGATTTATTATTATTATTTGAATGAGAGTCAACCACTGACTAATTGTGTCTGGGATATGTCAGGCCGAAGCCTGCCTTAGGGCAAGAGGTTGGACAAGATAATTGGAACTGTGAGGAGGAATTGAGAGACTTCCTGTGGAAGCATTAGAGTAGAAGAACGCAACACAAAAATCTGGCATCAGTAATGGTCTTTCTTTTTTTCTTCTCTCAGGACGGTTTGGAAAGTTGGGATCCTTGAAGGACCTGGTGGCCTAGCAGATGAGCACCCTGCCTGCGGCTGCAGGGCAATGCCACAGAGAATCCCTAGGGGGCAGCACTCAGGCACAGGTCTCGGTGAGATTCTTAGAGGCAGAGCTGTGCAGGCATCCAGGGAACACCATCTCCTGTTTCTCACATAAAGATTACTGCACAGGCAAAGATAAGGAATATTTTCCTAACAGTAAGAAGATTTTGAATCCAAGAAAGCAACAAACCAGAGCAGACTCATTTGAAACCTGAACAGAGTGATGTGGCCAAAGGAATCCAAGACAGGTTTCACCAGGTTCCTATTGTGAACATGCTGGATGTTTATATAAGAATCCCAGTGTGCAGCAATCATAACTAGATAATAATTATGCTTAAGATTTGGTCCTTATTCCATATGTGGATTCAGTCCTTTTCTGTCATTTTGTCATTTTCATGGAATCTGGATTTACGGAACCATCCAGTGTTTATTACAGAGAATGACCATCCATAAGCCTCTCCATGCTTATGGAAGTGACAGTTCTGGGGCCGCTGGCTAAATATGCCTTCCAGGTGTTTATTTCTGGGTCTACATCGTGCCCCTCACTCATCAATTTAACTCTATCCAGAGAATTCCTCTATGGTCTTCATCTGACTGGGAAGTAAATCATCAGTCACTTCAAATATTTCAAGCTTGGTTTTCTCTGACGTAAGTCAGTTTTCCTGACTACAATTCCTGGAAAATATTGTAGAGCCCTGCAGCATTGCAGTATTTCAACCTTCATTTGAATTGCCTGTGACCCAGATGTGAGCTCGTGCTTCCATAGTCTCAGATGTCTGGGTGAATCCACCAATTCCACACCTGTGAACATCCCTGTCCTTGATTCTTGCTAATTGTCAGGAAACTTACACTCATAATCCCTCCTGCCTCTGGCTCCGGGTCCATATGTACTGGCTCTGTAGCAGCCTCTCTCAACCCAGGTGTAATACTCAGCCCTTTGTCATTTTATACAAGACAATTCACTCTTTAAGCGTTTCATGAGTAATACTTTGTACAAGTAATACCTTGGGATGCAGAGTAAGAGTGTGTGGGTGGGTCATGTTATATAGTTCAAGGCTTCCCAAGGTCCTCTAGGCTCTCTGTCCTCTCCCTCTTCCTTCCTTATTTTCCCTGGGAGCTCCATGACCTTCTCCCTCTATCAGACAAATTAGCCCAGTTCCCCTTAGCTCCTACCGCTAAGTTGTCCATCAAGGCCCTCAGCGGAACAAAGTGTGCTCTGTTTGACAGAATCTATGTTCCTTAGAAGATAGTTAGACTATAAATAACAACAAAAGTTCAGGTGCACATATGTTTTAGTTGATGAAATCAAATATAAATCTCTGCCTCCACTGAAAGATAGCACAATATTGTGAGGAAGAACTGAATTAGGAATCAGCCTATTCGAGTTTGAGGCCCAGTAGCATCCTTCACTAGATAGGTGAAAAAGCCAGCAATTCATTTTCAGTCTCAGTTCATCATCTGAAGAGTGAAAATGTTACAAATATTTTGAATCATTATGCTGATTAAAGGAAATAACTTATTCACATGCACTCTGAAGCATTAGAGCAGCGTTTCTCAGGACTTTCTTAGTTTTACGACGACTGAGGGTGCTGCTGGCACCTTGGAGGAAGCGCCGGGGATGCCAGGTGTCTGCCAATGTGGAAAAATTTTGTATAACACAGCACTGCCAAATTATCAATAGTATACCCATTGAGAAATGCTACGTTTGAACACAGTATAAACGAAAGGTACATTACCTCTGACCTTCCGTCTTTCTTTTACACAAAATGCTGATGAATTTCTACTTGGTGTAGATAATTCTTTTAAACAATTTTCCTCATTCTGGATTATTTTAGCCCAATCTTTGTTCCAAGATGATAGTATGTCTGTCTTCCAATGATGCTGCCAACATTTTAATGACAATCTTGAGCTTCCTTCTATACAAAGTGCTTCCATATATGGTATCCTTGATCTCTCAGTTGAAACTACGTTTTACCCTCCAGAAAACAAAAAGAAGAAAGACAAATTATGGGATAAGGACTGAGAGAATTTTCCTCATGGTGAAGGCAAGCAGTATGAGGAAGCAGGTGAGCCAAGTACCCACAGGGCAGCTATTCGGGCCACAGTAGTTGTTTTCCCAAGGCCAGCATCACCTGGTGTAAACAGTTGTTGGACTTTTAATTAGGCTTCAAATCTCTTTCCCACCCCTCCTCTTATGATTGCAATAAGCAAGGTAGCCCTAAACAGGGCCCAGGCTTCCAGACTGCAGACTTCTAGGAGCAATACAGTTCTATCCCCATCCTCTGACTCGCCATCTGCCCATGAACCCTTGAGACGGTCCATCATCTGCAGGCCTGACTCCTGATTTGCTCTCCTGGCTGTGGTGAAGCACTATGGTCACCCACATACACTCTCTTTGTCCTCAGGCAAGGACTCAGGGCTGCTACTCCTACCACAGAGGTAGATGGACCCCATGAGGTGGGTTTGGGGGAGGATTAACAGGTACTGTCCTTGGGCCAAGAGCCAGATGAGCATTTACACTCATCTTACCAACACTACATCCTTAGGGTTTAGAAAGCTGTTTTGAAATGCTTGATACAGTGAGGGTGCTCAGAGATATTTCATCACTTATATAAGAGGGGGAAACCTTGCCTCTATAGGCTTATGGGGAAATGTGATTCAGATGAGAGTAGGAGGGCCTAACTGGCTGGGAAGATATGGAATCTGTAAGCCAGTTATACTCTTATTTCCAGTCAACAGGCTGAACCCATAAGTTTTTGTTTTTAGATGATATATCTGATTACTTTGACAATGTCACTTCTCTGAAACTTTCAATGACTCTTTCTGCTGATAGAAAAATTCCAATTTCCTTAGCCTTTCATTGAATCTATCTGTAATTTGGGTCCAACCTACTTTTCTAGTCTTCTATTTTGTAACTCCCCTCACAAATCTTACACCCCGCTCTTCTGAATTAAAAACAAAACAAAACAAACTTTTTCTTCCCTGGAAACAGGTCCTCCAGCTGGTCCTACTATTAGTTAATGAGCAAAATGACCCTGGAAAATCATTAACATCTCAAAATCCCAGCAGCTTACCTTGTAAAATCCAGTGGCAAGACTTTGGCTGATGAATTTTTCACAAGTTGCCCAGGTGAATATTAACACATCAAACATCTGGACCTAAAACCCTCTTCAACTCTGATTTTCCCACACATTCCCCATGCACTGCAATTCTCTGTCTACATGTGTTTATTTGTCAAAGTATCTTTTCCTGGAATGCTTCACTTTCTCTCTGGTTAACCCTGTAAGCTCAGGTGCATACACACATGCACACCTGTGCACATACACACACGCCAAGGACCTTCAAGATCAGCTCCAACACTGCCAGCTCCAGAAAGTCTTGCCTAAGGTTGGAGCTCATCTTTCGATGCCCTCTTTCTTCAAACACCTTTACATAGCACTTATCACGATTAGTCCTTGGTGGATCTTAGCTCACCACCGGTAGACTAGAACTTCTTGAGAGTATTCCTTCTTGTTCATCTTTCATTTTCCACATTAATCATGAAAGTAGCTTGTGAGAGTTGGTTGAATTGAGTTAAATTAACCTGACATGAATTAATTGAGAGACATCGTGGTGAAGGTGACAAGTTGGAGGCTCTTGGGAGAATTACAGATAAGGGTGGAGGGCTTGTGTCTCCTGACCTGTGTCTCTGCCTATTGTGGAACTCTTACCAGGCACATCCCCTATCTGTCTCTATCCACATGTGATTGTGGACTCAAAATAAAAAGAGGGATGCAGCTGTTTTTTGTCAAAATTGGACAATTTTATATCTGTAATCTTGCAGCCAGAGCGGTTGAGCCGATATATTTCATGACTCACTCTAGACAGATTAAAGTCTGTCCCTGAGAAACGAGGAGGGGGAACCATTAATCTTTTCTAAAATAAACAGAGAGTTATAACAGCTCTTTAATCTGAAGAGTGGAGATCCTGAGCTGGAACACAGCACCCAAGGGCGCGCCAAATTCCACGATGAGTAAAGAGTGCCCAGATAATAATTGATTGTGGGATCCTCTTCCCTGTGGTCCCTGAGGGGCATTCACAGTGTCACCAGCATTTAAAGAGGCTTTGGCAAAGTAGCTGGCCCAGCTCCATATGAAAGAAAGACTTGTCATCATCTGAACCCTTTGGGTCACTTGCTTTTCTAAGCCTGCATGAAAGCTTTGGGGTGCCTATGCAGTTAGCATTTCGCTCTTGGTGGCCTACCACTGTGTCCCATTCATGCCTCTCCCACCTAGCCACCCCCATCCACAGTTCTTGCTTTTCCCCAGGCATGGCAGAGTTTCTCCTCTGCTTTCACAGTACTCCCTAAACCCTGAAATTTGGCCAATTCTGCCTTCAGGGTCATCAAGCATCACCTTTCTTTTTTTTTTTCCCCCAAGATGGAGTGTCTTGCTTTGTCACCCAGGCTGGAATGCTGTGGAACAATCTCGGCTCACTGCAACCTCCACCTCCCGAGTTCAAGCAATTCTCCTGCCTCAGTCTCCTGAGTAGCTGGGATGACAGGTGCCCACCACCACACCCGGCTAATTTTTGTATTTTTAGTAGAAGTGGAGTTTCATCATGTTGGCCAGGCTGGTCTCGAACTCCTGACCTCGTGATCCGCCCGCCTCGACCTCCCAAAGTGCTGGGATTACAGGCGTGAGTCACCTTGCCCAGCCAGCATCACCTTTCTTTACTGCCAACAAGGCTCAACAGTCTCTCTCTGCTGCATCCTACTCCACCTCCCAGGACACCGCAACCTGCGGATTCCCTTTCCTTCCTTGGCTTCCAACCTGATTCTCCTCCGCTTCTCTCTCCAACCTTCTCTGATGCCTCTTCCTTGTCATTTAATTATCAGTATCCCCAAACTTCTTCGTCAACTCAGCCTCTTTCTCCCTGTACGTTCTCTTTCATGACAATGTCATTTATTCCCGCAGAACCTCAATGACAAAGACTCAAACCTATTACCTGTTCCCCAGCTACAGACTCATTCTTTGAACAGCCTGATAGACATCATTTGGGCATTTTACTGGTGTCTCACACTTACCGTTTCCAAATCTAATGGATTATCTGTGATTAACCCCACCTCCAACCCCTCTTCAAATAAGCTCTAGTGCCTATTTTCCTGATTACCTACAGTAGCACACAATTACCCCAGTCACTTTATACTCTTACCCATGGAGCATGTACACCTGTTAGGTTTTTCTCCATTCCTGTCTCTGACATGCCACTGTTTACCAAATTCTTAGAGTACAGTCCTATAGATTCTGTGTCTAAATTGTTTCTGGTAAGTATTTTCTCCTGTCCACATTCATGACCATAACTCAGGCTCTTACTATTTTTTGTCTCATAACAGCTTTGATACTGGCTGTGCTGCTTCAAACATTGTTCAGTTTATCACATTCTTGCAGAAGAATTTTTCTAAACCACAGATAGGAACATATCCCACTGCACAAAAGCTTTCAAAGACTGAGTACTCCCCATTGCCTGCTGATTGTATCAGAAAATCTTCAGCCCAGAATCTAATGCCTTCCATAATATGACTCCCACCTACTTTTCCAATCTCATTTCCCACCAGAGTCAAGTGTGACTACTCACTGTCCCGTGTAAACACACCAACTTTCATGCCTTACTGCCTTTGCACCATTTTCTCATTCTGCACTGCCCCCAAATATCCCTTTTTCTGCCACCTAAGTCTTTCTGTGACTAGGACAGAAGGCCAAGGACCAAGGCCATCTCCAAGCTACCTCTATCCTGAAATCTTTCCAACAGTTGGCGAGCACTCTTCCTTCGAGCCCATGCCGTACTTTTCTGTGATTTCCTTCCTTCCTTCCTTCCTTCCTTTTTTTTTTTTTTTTTTTTTTTTGACAGAGTCTCCCTCTGTTGCCCAGGCTGGAGTACATTGGTGCAATCTGGGCTCACTGCAACCTCTGCCTCCCAGGTTGAAGCGATTCTCATGCCTCAGACTCCCAAACAGCTGGAATTACAGGCGTGTGCCACCATGTCCAGCTAATTTTTGTATTTTTAGTAGAGACAGGGTTTTTCCATGTTGGCCAGACTGGTCTCAAACTCCTGACCTCAAGTGATCTTCCCGCCTCAGCCTCCCTAAGTGCTGGGATTAAAAGCGTGAGGCACTGTGCCTGGCCCCTTTCTGTGATTTTTTCATTGTAATTTATGTGCTCTTATTTTATTCCCTGCATTAAGTGGGTAGTTATCAACCTTTTTCACCCTTATGAAGGATGACAGTCATATTCTCTATGCATTCTTGTGCCGGGGTCCAGCAAAAAAGCTGTAACTTAATCCTTTTCTATCCCAATCAAAAAGTATATCAAAAGGCAAGATGGGGATATGCTTAAATCTATTTTATTTACATAAAAGTCACATGCACTGGAAAGGGTTAACTCAGAAGCCCTAGGTTTCTCAAACCCTTCACATTCCAAAAGAAAGCCTGTCTTCAGGACTGACCCTTGGCTTGTGCAAAACCTTTGAGCTCTTGGAATATTCTGCATGATAAGAGTGTTTTTTGTATGCCTGAGGCCTTGGGCCAGGCTGTACCAGTATAACCAGATAAGTTTATGCTAAAAATGCGATTTTTTATAAATGCCTGTTTTTGCTCTGGGGAGCTAGAGACTGAGTAGCTAAGGTCAGTCACATGGGTGCTGAATGCCTATGTAGCAGAACCCCAGTTAAAAAACCCTAGATACCAAAGCTGGGGAGCTTCCCTGATTGGCAGTACTTCATGTGTGTTTTCACACACCATTGCTGGGAAATTAAGTATGGCCCCTATATGACTCCACTGGGAGGGGACATCTGGAAGCTTGTTCCTAGTTTCTCCTGGACTTTGCCCGTTGTGCCTTGCCCTTCACTGATTTCAATCTGTAAACTTTCACTTTAATAATAAAACGTAACAATGAGTATAGCAGTTTCTGAGTCTTGTGAGTCCTTCTAATAAATCATT